CACCTGCATGTGTACGCGCGATCAAATGCTTTAAGTCGTAATTATCCGTTCTTGGCGTAACTTTAGGACCGTACGTCGGAATTCGACGCATAATATATGCATTTGGGGCAGAATCTCCCATTCTATCCATTGTGACAGACTACGTCTGTCAGTTCCGCCCCAAGAATCCAGAAAAACAACCTCTACTGTTTCGAGTCCGGGAATGCTCCTGGCGTGGGAAAAAGAGAGAGGTGCAACACGAGGACTTCCCAGGAGGTCACCCATCCTAGTACTACTCTCGCCCAAGCACGCTTAACTGCGGAGTTCTGATGGGATCCGGTGCATTAGTGCTGGTATGATCGCACCTGCATGTGTACGCGCGATCAAATGCTTTAAGTCGTAATTATCCGTTCTTGGCGTAACTTTAGGACCGTACGTCGGAATTCGACGCATAATATATGCATTTGGGGCAGAATCTCCCATTCTATCCATTGTGACAGACTACGTCTGTCAGTTCCGCCCCAAGAATCCAGAAAAACAACCTCTACTGTTTCGAGTCCGGGAATGCTCCTGGCGTGGGAAAAAGAGAGAGGTGCAACACGAGGACTTCCAAGGAGGTCACCCGTCCTAGTACTACTCTCGCCCAAGCACGCTTAACTGCGGAGTTCTGATGGGATCCGGTGCATTAGTGCTGGTATGATCGCACCTGCATGTGTACGCGCGATCAAATGCTTTAAGTCGTAATTATCCGTTCTTGGCGTAACTTTAGGACCGTACGTCGGAATTCGACGCATAATATATGCATTTGGGGCAGAATCTCCCATTCTATCCATTGTGACAGACTACGTCTGTCAGTTCCGCCCCAAGAATCCAGAAAAACAACCTCTACTGTTTCGAGTCCGGGAATGCTCCTGGCGTGGGAAAAAGAGAGAGGTGCAACACGAGGACTTCCCAGGAGGTCACCCATCCTAGTACTACTCTCGCCCAAGCACGCTTAACTGCGGAGTTCTGATGGGATCCGGTGCATTAGTGCTGGTATGATCGCACCTGCATGTGTACGCGCGATCAAATGCTTTAAGTCGTAATTATCCGTTCTTGGCGTAACTTTAGGACCGTACGTCGGAATTCGACGCATAATATATGCATTTGGGGCAGAATCTCCCATTCTATCCATTGTGACAGACTACGTCTGTCAGTTCCGCCCCAAGAATCCAGAAAAACAACCTCTACTGTTTCGAGTCCGGGAATGCTCCTGGCGTGGGAAAAAGAGAGAGGTGCAACACGAGGACTTCCCAGGAGGTCACCCATCCTAGTACTACTCTCGCCCAAGCACGCTTAACTGCGGAGTTCTGATGGGATCCGGTGCATTAGTGCTGGTATGATCGCACCTGCATGTGTACGCGCGATCAAATGCTTTAAGTCGTAATTATCCGTTCTTGGCGTAACTTTAGGACCGTACGTCGGAATTCGACGCATAATATATGCATTTGGGGCAGAATCTCCCATTCTATCCATTGTGACAGACTACGTCTGTCAGTTCCGCCCCAAGAATCCAGAAAAACAACCTCTACTGTTTCGAGTCCGGGAATGCTCCTGGCGTGGGAAAAAGAGAGAGGTGCAACACGAGGACTTCCCAGGAGGTCACCCATCCTAGTACTACTCTCGCCCAAGCACGCTTAACTGCGGAGTTCTGATGGGATCCGGTGCATTAGTGCTGGTATGATCGCACCTGCATGTGTACGCGCGATCAAATGCTTTAAGTCGTAATTATCCGTTCTTGGCGTAACTTTAGGACCGTACGTCGGAATTCGACGCATAATATATGCATTTGGGGCAGAATCTCCCATTCTATCCATTGTGACAGACTACGTCTGTCAGTTCCGCCCCAAGAATCCAGAAAAACAACCTCTACTGTTTCGAGTCCGGGAATGCTCCTGGCGTGGGAAAAAGAGAGAGGTGCAACACGAGGACTTCCCAGGAGGTCACCCATCCTAGTACTACTCTCGCCCAAGCACGCTTAACTGCGGAGTTCTGATGGGATCCGGTGCATTAGTGCTGGTATGATCGCACCTGCATGTGTACGCGCGATCAAATGCTTTAAGTCGTAATTATCCGTTCTTGGCGTAACTTTAGGACCGTACGTCGGAATTCGACGCATAATATATGCATTTGGGGCAGAATCTCCCATTCTATCCATTGTGACAGACTACGTCTGTCAGTTCCGCCCCAAGAATCCAGAAAAACAACCTCTACTGTTTCGAGTCCGGGAATGCTCCTGGCGTGGGAAAAAGAGAGAGGTGCAACACGAGGACTTCCCAGGAGGTCACCCATCCTAGTACTACTCTCGCCCAAGCACGCTTAACTGCGGAGTTCTGATGGGATCCGGTGCATTAGTGCTGGTATGATCGCACCTGCATGTGTACGCGCGATCAAATGCTTTAAGTCGTAATTATCCGTTCTTGGCGTAACTTTAGGACCGTACGTCGGAATTCGACGCATAATATATGCATTTGGGGCAGAATCTCCCATTCTATCCATTGTGACAGACTACGTCTGTCAGTTCCGCCCCAAGAATCCAGAAAAACAACCTCTACTGTTTCGAGTCCGGGAATGCTCCTGGCGTGGGAAAAAGAGAGAGGTGCAACACGAGGACTTCCCAGGAGGTCACCCATCCTAGTACTACTCTCGCCCAAGCACGCTTAACTGCGGAGTTCTGATGGGATCCGGTGCATTAGTGCTGGTATGATCGCACCTGCATGTGTACGCGCGATCAAATGCTTTAAGTCGTAATTATCCGTTCTTGGCGTAACTTTAGGACCGTACGTCGGAATTCGACGCATAATATATGCATTTGGGGCAGAATCTCCCATTCTATCCATTGTGACAGACTACGTCTGTCAGTTCCGCCCCAAGAATCCAGAAAAACAACCTCTACTGTTTCGAGTCCGGGAATGCTCCTGGCGTGGGAAAAAGAGAGAGGTGCAACACGAGGACTTCCCAGGAGGTCACCCATCCTAGTACTACTCTCGCCCAAGCACGCTTAACTGCGGAGTTCTGATGGGATCCGGTGCATTAGTGCTGGTATGATCGCACCTGCATGTGTACGCGCGATCAAATGCTTTAAGTCGTAATTATCCGTTCTTGGCGTAACTTTAGGACCGTACGTCGGAATTCGACGCATAATATATGCATTTGGGGCAGAATCTCCCATTCTATCCATTGTGACAGACTACGTCTGTCAGTTCCGCCCCAAGAATCCAGAAAAACAACCTCTACTGTTTCGAGTCCGGGAATGCTCCTGGCGTGGGAAAAAGAGAGAGGTGCAACACGAGGACTTCCCAGGAGGTCACCCATCCTAGTACTACTCTCGCCCAAGCACGCTTAACTGCGGAGTTCTGATGGGATCCGGTGCATTAGTGCTGGTATGATCGCACCTGCATGTGTACGCGCGATCAAATGCTTTAAGTCGTAATTATCCGTTCTTGGCGTAACTTTAGGACCGTACGTCGGAATTCGACGCATAATATATGCATTTGGGGCAGAATCTCCCATTCTATCCATTGTGACAGACTACGTCTGTCAGTTCCGCCCCAAGAATCCAGAAAAACAACCTCTACTGTTTCGAGTCCGGGAATGCTCCTGGCGTGGGAAAAAGAGAGAGGTGCAACACGAGGACTTCCCAGGAGGTCACCCATCCTAGTACTACTCTCGCCCAAGCACGCTTAACTGCGGAGTTCTGATGGGATCCGGTGCATTAGTGCTGGTATGATCGCACCTGCATGTGTACGCGCGATCAAATGCTTTAAGTCGTAATTATCCGTTCTTGGCGTAACTTTAGGACCGTACGTCGGAATTCGACGCATAATATATGCATTTGGGGCAGAATCTCCCATTCTATCCATTATGACAGACTACGTCTGTCAGTTCCGCCCCAAGAATCCAGAAAAACAACCTCTACTGTTTCGAGTCCGGGAATGCTCCTGGCGTGGGAAAAAGAGAGAGGTGCAACACGAGGACTTCCCAGGAGGTCACCCATCCTAGTACTACTCTCGCCCAAGCACGCTTAACTGCGGAGTTCTGATGGGATCCGGTGCATTAGTGCTGGTATGATCGCACCTGCATGTGTACGCGCGATCAAATGCTTTAAGTCGTAATTATCCGTTCTTGGCGTAACTTTAGGACCGTACGTCGGAATTCGACGCATAATATATGCATTTGGGGCAGAATCTCCCATTCTATCCATTGTGACAGACTACGTCTGTCAGTTCCGCCCCAAGAATCCAGAAAAACAACCTCTACTGTTTCGAGTCCGGGAATGCTCCTGGCGTGGGAAAAAGAGAGAGGTGCAACACGAGGACTTCCCAGGAGGTCACCCATCCTAGTACTACTCTCGCCCAAGCACGCTTAACTGCGGAGTTCTGATGGGATCCGGTGCATTAGTGCTGGTATGATCGCACCTGCATGTGTACGCGCGATCAAATGCTTTAAGTCGTAATTATCCGTTCTTGGCGTAACTTTAGGACCGTACGTCGGAATTCGACGCATAATATATGCATTTGGGGCAGAATCTCCCATTCTATCCATTGTGACAGACTACGTCTGTCAGTTCCGCCCCAAGAATCCAGAAAAACAACCTCTACTGTTTCGAGTCCGGGAATGCTCCTGGCGTGGGAAAAAGAGAGAGGTGCAACACGAGGACTTCCAAGGAGGTCACCCGTCCTAGTACTACTCTCGCCCAAGCACGCTTAACTGCGGAGTTCTGATGGGATCCGGTGCATTAGTGCTGGTATGATCGCACCTGCATGTGTACGCGCGATCAAATGCTTTAAGTCGTAATTATCCGTTCTTGGCGTAACTTTAGGACCGTACGTCGGAATTCGACGCATAATATATGCATTTGGGGCAGAATCTCCCATTCTATCCATTATGACAGACTACGTCTGTCAGTTCCGCCCCAAGAATCCAGAAAAACAACCTCTACTGTTTCGAGTCCGGGAATGCTCCTGGCGTGGGAAAAAGAGAGAGGTGCAACACGAGGACTTCCCAGGAGGTCACCCATCCTAGTACTACTCTCGCCCAAGCACGCTTAACTGCGGAGTTCTGATGGGATCCGGTGCATTAGTGCTGGTATGATCGGCACCTGCATGTGTACGCGCGATCAAATGCTTTAAGTCGTAATTATCCGTTCTTGGCGTAACTTTAGGACCGTACGTCGGAATTCGACGCATAATATATGCATTTGGGGCAGAATCTCCCATTCTATCCATTGTGACAGACTACGTCTGTCAGTTCCGCCCCAAGAATCCAGAAAAACAACCTCTACTCTTTCGAGTCCGGGAATGCTCCTGGCGTGGGAAAAAGAGAGAGGTGCAACACGAGGACTTCCCAGGAGGTCACCCATCCTAGTACTACTCTCGCCCAAGCACGCTTCACTGCGGAGTTCTGATGGGATCCGGTGCATTAGTGTTGGTATGATCGCACCTCCATGTGTACGCGCGATCAAATGCTTTAAGTCGTAATTATCCGTTCTTGGCGTAACTTTAGGACCGTACGTCGGAATTCGACGCATAATATATGCATTTGGGGCAGAATCTCCCATTCTATCCATTGTGACAGACTACGTCTGTCAGTTCCGCCCCAAGAATCCAGAAAAACAACCTCTACTGTTTCGAGTCCGGGAATGCTCCTGGCGTGGGAAAAAGAGAGAGGTGCAACACGAGGACTTCCTAGGAGGTCACCCATCCTAGTACTACTCTCGCCCAAGCACGCTTAACTGCGAAGTTCTGATGGGATCCGGTGCATTAGTGTTGGTATGATCGCAGCTGCATGTGTACGCGCGATCAAATGCTTTAAGTCGTAATTATCCGTTCTTGGCGTAACTTTAGGACCGTACGTCGGAATTCGACGCATAATATATGCATTTGGGGCAGAATCTCCCATTCTATCCATTGTGACAGACTACGTCTGTCAGTTCCGCCCCAAGAATCCAGAAAAACAACCTCTACTGTTTCGAGTCCGGGAATGCTCCTGGCGTGGGAAAAAGAGAGAGGTGCAACACGAGGACTTCCCAGGAGGTCACCCATCCTAGTACTACTCTCGCCCAAGCACGCTTAACTGCGGAGTTCTGATGGGATCCGGTGCATTAGTGCTGGTATGATCGCAGCTGCATGTGTACGCGCGATCAAATGCTTTAAGTCGTAATTATCCGTTCTTGGCGTAACTTTAGGACCGTACGTCGGAATTCGACGCATAATATATGCATTTGGGGCAGAATCTCCCATTCTATCCATTGTGACAGACTACGTCTGTCAGTTCCGCCCCGAGAATCCAGAAAAACAACCTCTACTGTTTCGAGTGCGGGAATGCTCCTGGCGTGGGAAAAAGAGAGAGGTGCAACACGAGGACTTCCCAGGAGGTCACCCATCCTAGTACTACTCTCGCCCAAGCACGCTTAACTGCGGAGTTCTGATGGGATCCGATGCATTAGTGTTGGTATGATCGCACCTGCATGTGTACGCGCGATCAAATGCTATAAGTCGTAATTATCCGTTCTTGGCGTAACTTTAGGACCGTACGTCGGAATTCGACGCATAATATATGCATTTGGGGCAGAATCTCCCATTCTATCCATTGTGACAGACTTAGTCTGTCTGTTCCGCCCCAAGAATCCAGAAAAACAACCTCTACTGTTTCGAGTCCGGGAATGCTCCTGGCGTGGGAAAAAGAGAGAGGTGCAACACGAGGACTTCCCAGGAGGTCACCCATCCTAGTACTACTCTCGCCCAAGCACGCTTAACAGCGGAGTTCTGATGGGATCCGGTGCATTAGTGCTGGTATGATCGCACATGCATGTGGATGCGCGATCAAATGCTTTAAGTCGTAATTATCCGTTCTTGGCGTAACTTTAGGACCGTACGTCGGAATTCGACGCATAACATATGCATTTGGGGCAGAATCTCCCATTCTATCCATTGTGACAGACTACGTCTGTCAGTTCCGCCCCAAGAATCCAGAAAAACAACCTCTACTGTTTCGAGTCCGGGAATGCTCTTGGCGTGGGAAAAAGAGAGAGGTGCAACACGAGGACTTCCCAGGAGGTCACCCATCCTAGTACTACTCTCGCCCAAGCACGCTTATCTGCGGAGTTCTGATGGGATCCGGTGCATTAGTGCTGGTATGATCGCACCTGCATGTGTACGCGCGATAGCATTAGTGCTGGTATGATCGCACCTGCATGTGTACGCGCGATCAAATGCTTTAAGTCGTAATTATCCGTTCTTGGCGTAACTTTAGGACCGTACGTCGGAATTCGACGCATAATATATGCATTTGGGGCAGAATCTCCCATTCTATCCAGTGTGACAGACAACGTCTGTCAGTTCCGCCCCCAGAATCCAGAAAAACAACCTCTTCTGTTTCGAGTCCGGGAATGCTCCAGGCGCGGGAAAAAGAGAGAGTTGCAACACGAGGACTTCCCAGGAGGTCACCCATCCTAGTACTACTATCGCCCAAGCACGCTTAACTGCGGAGTTCTGATGGGATCCGGTGCATTAGTGCTGGTATGATCGCACCTGCATGTGTACGCGCGATCAAATGCTTTAAGTCGTAATTATCCGTTCTTGGCGTAACTTTAGGATCGTACGTCGGAATTCGACGCATAATATATGCATTTGGGGCAGAATCTCCCATTCTATCCATTGTGACAGACTACATCTGTCAGTTCCTCCCCAAGAATCCAGAAAAAGAACCTCTACTGTTTTGAGTCCGGGAATGCTCCTGGCGTGGGAAAAAGAGAGAGGTGCAACACGAGGACTTCCCAGGAGGTCACCCATCCTAGTACTACTCTCGCCCAAGCACGCTTATCTGCGGAGTTCTGATGGGATCCGGTGCATTAGTGCTGGTATGATCGCACCTGCATGTGTACGCGCGATCAAATGCTTTAAGTCGTAATTATCCGTTCTTGGCGTAACTTTAGGATCGTACGTCGGAATTCGACGCATAATATATGCATTTGGGGCAGAATATCCCATTCCATCCATTGTGACAGACTACGTCTGTCAGTTCCTCCCCAAGAATCCAGAAAAACAACCTCTACTATTTCGAGTCCGGGAATGCTCCTGGCGTGGGAAAAAGAGAGAGGTGCAACACGAGGACTTCCCAGGAGGTCACCCATCCTAGTACTACTCTCGCCCAAGCACGCTTAACTGCGGAGTTCTGATGGGATCCGGTGCATTAGTGCTGGTATGATCGCACCTGCATGTGTACGCGCTCAGTGGCTCGAGAGCACTCAGTGGCTCAAGACAATAAAGTAAATATGCGAGCACTTAGTGGCTCAAGAAAATAAAGTAAATATGCGAGCACTCAGTGGCTCGAGACAATAAAATAAAATGCGAGCACTTAGTGGGAATAAAATAAATTGCGAGCTCTTAGTGGCCCGAGACAGAAAAATAATATGCGAGCTCTCAGTGGCTCGAGACAAAAAAATAAGTTTGATGTTTGTTTAAAGAACGTTCTGGCGTTTGAGTCCAACAACGTACAACATTTCAGCGTCTTGGTCCGACAATGTTTTTTTTTAGAACGTTCTAGCGTATAAGTCTAACAACGTCATAACATTTCGGTCTGAGTCCGACAATGTTTTTTTTAGAACGTTTTAGCGTCTGAGTCTAGCAACATTATAACATTTCGGTGTCTGGGTCCGATAATGTTTTTTCTTTAAGAACGTTCTAGCGTCTGAGTCTAACAACGTTGTAACATTTTGGCGTCTGGGTCCGACAATGTTTTTTTATTTTTATTTTTTTAGAAATTTAGTTTGATTGATCAACTCTGACGGTGCGATTATGATGATTGTATGGAGTATGCTATATGATGCATGAAACTCCTATATGTATGAGTATGCTTCACTTGAATTGGTGATATGTATGTATGTCATGCATGATGCACAATGATTGAAAGTAGAGTATGTTTGTGAGATTAAGTATTGTATGAATTTTGGTTGTGTTTGTGTGATGTAGTGGTGTAAGAACCACAGTCAATTGATGATTTGCTCAAAATAACATTCAAGTTTTGAAAAATTGGATTTGATAATTTTTTATTCATTTATCTTAAAAATTGCTCTTTAGCATCCTCACAACTTTTGATTTCAATATATTTTTCTGTCTTTGGTTGGTAGAGCTGTTGTTGAGTTGATTGCTTTCTAAGATCACCTTGGTCCTTCTAGGAACTGCCTCAGTTTGCAGTAGATGAATCAATTAAATGTCTCAGTGTTTTGTTAATAATTTATTGGAAGAGTATGATCTCCAATAAATTGCCCAAATATCTTTAAGAATTTTGCTCAGAGTACCTATTATAGGCACCTGTCAGGAATTCTCTTTTTTTATTATGATACTAAGTCGACATTGAAGGTTTCTGACTTAGCATTACTATCCTTTTCTTAGGATGCCCTTGTGGGTTTTCATCCTAGCACTATTTTCTTTTTTATTTTTGTTTGTTTTTTCTTTCCTTCAGTTTTTTGTTTGTTTTGACTATTTTTTTGAACACCCTCGAGTGTGACGAACATAAGTGCATGAAAGCACTAGTCACCTCTAAGGTTTAAAAGTGAGAACACAAGACCTTGCTTCTGCTTGGTTGAGGGAATTGAGATTGATCCGTGATTGTCAACTTCAGCCTTGCCTCAGTTTGATGTGTTAGACGTCACCCCACTATTCGTATTGTCGATTTTAGGCTTTAATCAAGAGGGTCTTGGACAAAAACTCTTCAAAAGTGCCCCAGTTTGGATTGGTTGTCATCATTTCTCTAGATTTATTGTACCCTACTTTGGTTTCCACTTGTCGTGTGTTTGTTTTCATGCACCACTCTTTAAAAAGAAATACTGAAAATGACGATCATGCAAATTTGATTTTTTTTTGTGTTGATGTGGTGGTGGTTGTGATGATGGTAAGATATTGTGATTTAATCCGATGCATTAAAAGTTAAATATTTTCATCAAAACTTAATGAGATTTATTGGAGTCAGCATTTCTCTGCCCTAGTGCATACCTTAGGCAAATTGAATCTTCAACAAGGTCTTTTAAGCTTGTATTTTGGTCTGGTTAAGGGTTTCCAAGAAAAAGGATATAGGCTCAAATGAGTGTTTCTCAAACCCCTTTCCGCATTCTCCTTTCTTCATTGGCTCAATTCAATGGTTTTCTGACATGACATTCAACTACTAAAATTTTATTGGATTTTTTGTGATGGAATATATGAAAGCCTAAATTTTAGGCGATAATCTTCCCAATGAGTATTTGAGTTGTCCTTTTGGTGGTCATTGATAGTGCATTTTATTTGCCCTAACTTTGGTCTGAGATTTTTATTTCTGATTTTTTGTTTTTCTGCACCTTGACTGATAAACATTTTTATTGGACTTTTTTCTTGGGTTTTTACTCATCGGGTTAGACATGACAAATGGTGGAGGTAGAATGTGTTTATTTCTTAGTAATTGAATGTTAGAGAGAAAATTGAATAACTACCTTGCCCCGGGTTATTGATATTTCGTGGGTATTTTAGAAGAAATCTCCTTTCATAAAGTTTAAGGCTCAAATTGGATGACTAGGGACATCTTCTTTGTGTTTGATTTTTTCAAGGATGACTTGTGTCATTAGAAAAGATTTGCCTAAGGATATGCACCATTACAGGTCTTACTTTTGCATCATCCTCAATTTCATACAAATTATTGAAGCAACTATCTCATATTAATGCATGAATCGATTTGGTTTGTTTTGGTTCTTTTTTTAGATAAGATTTGTGGAATGGAGTACGAGATGATAATTTACACGATCAATGCAATAATATGTAATCTTTAAAAAAATATGAAATGAAAATATAGATGCTCCATTGTTTGATGACCTTTAACATTGGGGAGAACAATATGAGTTCCAAAATATGATTTGATTCACCAATTCCTTGAGGACTTCTAGCTATGACTTGATTATCTTGATTTGATTGAAAACAATTGTTGTAAGGGTGCTTATGAGCAATAGTGATGCAATTTTTATTGTTTTTTTGTTTTTTTTTGTTTTTTTGTTGTTGGAATATTTGAAATACGAATTTTAGAAAAACTAATTCCTTTTCATTTGGTATAATTAGACATTTCATCCTGCAATTGATTACTATGAAGCGTACCAAAATAGCTTCTCTTGCGTTGATGACAATCAAAGACGAAACACAATGCCTCATAACAAGATTGCATCTAGATCGTTTCTTAGCATTGCCCAACAAACATCTTGTCATGCATTTGTTATCTTGGGAGCGTACCCCACAAGGTTGTCTGCAGTTGATGACAATTTCAGATGAAACTCGAGGTTTAAGACCAAGATTGCATCTATTAAACACGAGATGTTCTTATTTTTTATGTTAGTTTGGATAGCATGGTATTGCCATAATGCTAAGAACTGATGTATATGTCTTTACCAAATCTCTTTTAGAAAAGGAACTTGATCATTGAATGTTTTATTTATGGATGAATGATATGCATATTGTATGAGGTATGACTTTTCGTACGTGCAATGCATGAAAACAGAGATTCAGAGCTCGGGAGTCGATTACGGATTGGGGAAGGTATTAGCACCATGTCCCCCGTATTAAAACGGGACCCTCACTAATAACATGAACTTTTAAACCCTTAACAATTATTTATAAAAATTCAATAATTAAAGAAAAATGTTTTATTTTTTATTGTTGTGCCTCACAAGAGTTCATCTTGCTCCTACGTATTCCTAGGTGCAATACGGAAATCATGGCTACGTAGTTCTGGTTTGAAAAATAATTGAATTGGTTTGAGTAGTTTTAAAATATGCTTAAGTAGTTAAGTCATACAATATGCATTTTTTTCTAAAATATTTTTTGATAAGGAATTAATAGTTTAGAGACGGTGTTGGTCGCTCACCTCCTTCCCATTTTCGGAGAAGTCAGAGTCAACTCGAACCATAACCTTATTATAAAAATTCCATTAAAATTCATTTAAGTAATAAGGTAATTTTTATTTAAAACATTTTTGACATGAAATTAATAGTTTAGAGTCGGTGTTGGTTGCTCACCTTCTTCCCATTTTCGGAGAAGTCAGAGTCAACTCGAACCGTAACCATGGTATAAAAATTCCATTTAAAAATCGTTTGAATAATAAGATAATTTTTTATCTAAAACATTTTGGCATGAAATTAATAGTTTAGAGTCGGTATTGATTGCTCACATTCTTCCCATTTTCGAAGAAGTACCCGAACCGTAACCTTACTATAAAAATTCCATTAAATTTTGTAGAGTTGTTATTTTTAAAGGATATATTTCAATTAATCTTTATGTTGATGTAAAATCATATAACCATTGCTTATTAGTTCATAGAAAATAAACTCTACTAATTAATTTTAACACAAAGGTTAATACAAAATCATGAAACAAACAAATATATAAATAAAAAGAATTAAAAACATTTAATAATAAATTAGGCAAAGGGGGTAATGCCCTTTATTTCACATCCATCAAGAGAAATAATCCCTAAACTCGCATTTCCTTCTCCATTTATTTACTTTCATCTTCCTCTCTTCTCCTTCGATTCTAGCGGCAGCGATTATGGAGGAGCATTTGTATCGGCAGAGGAAGCAACCATGGAAGACGGCGGCACCAAGGCTAATGGTAACGGCTCACAAGGGAGACATGGTAAGGTCTTCTCCTTCTTTCCCTCTCTGTTGTATGGAATTTTGCATATGTATATAATAAATACCAATGTATGTATATCTCTGGTTTGTATATGTTTGTGTATGAGGTATTTTTGTAGTGGTTACGTTATGAAAAGGGTAATGGTTGAGTTATAGGTGGTGATTGAGAGATAATGAGGTTAAGGCGGTTGATAGAGAAAGATGACGGTGTGTGGTATCTGAATTGGGGGGAAAGATGGTTGGCTACCTTTTTATAAAGGTTGAGGTTCATGAGAAGAACCTCTATAATTTCTGATTTGAATCCCCCAACTTATTGCGTTTCAGATTATTCCAATTTCTATGTTGATTGTCAATCTTGGTTTTAATTTGTCAATCATGGTTTTAATGTTCTCCATTGCCTTAGCTTTCACTCTGAATCTCTCGCTGCCTTATTGAGACCACTACTTGATGCTCTATTTATACCCTTAATGATAATTATGATTGTTGCCTGATTATGCTTAATTTAACAAGATTATTAATCTGCATAGCTTTGATGTCATATCTTTTGGAATTATATTGATTGATTATTAA